TATTTATTACATCAGTTTTATCAGTCATCATATTTTAAGCCTCTTCAACATGTATCCCATTCTTGATAAAACATATAATATTTGCGTTATAAACAGCTTTCTGCAATCGTTGTACATATTTAATGAAAAGATTCCTGTCATCTGCATTATTTTGGGCTTGCACACTGAAATCTTGCTGCCTTGGTGTTACTGAAAGAAGCTACAAAATTATGACCTCTTTGGGTATCATATTTGATCATGTGAATGCATATAGGTACTCTCCACTTAATGACAGTTTATATGAGATAACACATGAAACTTAACACAAATATTTGGTTTGTGACATCCCACAACTCAAACCAACACCATAAAATCTTCTTCTTTAAGTTTTCGTGTGTCTAAATGCAATGAAGTTTTATTGGCAATCAGGGACTAGCATCATCAGGAGGTTAAGGCAGGCTTCAAAATGTTGGAAATTCACTCTACACTGATATGGCTGACTGCATGAGGAGACTTTCATCATGTAAATCAGGCAACTTAATTGCTTAACTTAAACCAAAAGTCCTCTTTTGAAAAATATTGAGAAGTGTGCTACAACAGCAGTGTTTCATGTGGTACGAACATGAAGAATCTATTGTGACGTTTCCTGTTCAACAGAAGCATCATTTTATTTTAGACCTGAGTTACTCTTTACTTTGTGTTTAAGCTACTCTTTCTTGACCTCGGCACCAGATGGGGGTGAGTGGTCAGCATCATGACCCGATCAAATGTCATAAAAATCTGTTTAGTGATTCAAACTGTCACATGCAGACATGGGGAAAGAAAAAAACAAAAACAAAACAGACATGGCGAAACAATAAGGGTGGTTCAAGGTCAAATGATTCTTTTTGTACAAAATATGTCTGCACCAGAATGATGAAATACTCTTCGTGGCAGATGGTGAGAACATTGCTCTTACTCCCTCACACACAAATGTACCCTCTGCATCTTCACATTAGAAGTAATAAAAAAATTCTGTCAGACCCTGTCAGTCTGAACGTAGAACAGTGCTAAAGAGAAAGTGAAATCAGTTAAAATTCTCAATAGGTCAAGTGCACAATATGGGAAGAGACCTTATTATGTACACGTGTGTAAGACTGGTGCAACAAATTTTCTGAAAGCTGTATAAAGTGAAGCTTTTGCTGTGACTGAAGTTGATGAAAGCTGTTTGTGGTCGCTAACCAACCACATGCTCACATACAGTTGACAGCTGCTGAGGGGCTGATTTTGGAAAACAGGCAAATTGAAGTGCATGATATTGCATCAAAAGTGTGCAAGGGGTGATTCATGTTTGTTTTCTGCGACCCTGAGCAACAGTTAATGTTCAGTATTACAATAACTTGCTTCTCAGTGATGAATGGATTTAGCCCCAAGAGATTAGCACTTGTTTGGGCCAATGAAGGAGTACCTGGATGGGTAGAAGAAATTTAAGACAGATTATACACTCAAGCAGTGTCCTGAATTGGCCTTACCATGATGGCAAAAATGTATCAGGGTAGAAGGACAGTGTCTTGAAAAAGAATGATTGTTTGGTGATTCTGATATGTATGTGTTTTGTGTAAAAGACAACCTAGATCAACCTTGAACCACTCACATAATAGGCACATTTTTACAACTTTTTGTTTCAAATTAGTTTAAGATAAAGGGGGAACCGCTTTTGTTGTGGTTACAGAACTTCAGTATAATGTGACCATAGTAATCTACAGGCTGTATTTTGAGAACCACCAACCCCTCTCAATGGTGCCTACATTTGTTAGAATTCAGAATCTACTTCTTTTAACAATCACAGAAATAACAAATTTACCTTTGAATGTGTCTTCAATAAGATTAAATTTCAGATCACATTTCTGTCTTATTTATATATACACTGAGACTGGCTTCTATCCATCATCTAACAAAAATTATTTGGAACTTGGTCTCTCACTGTATCTAATGGAGGACAAATTAATACAAATGCAGAACTTGTACTTAAAATATGTGACTTGCCTGACAAAGGAAAGGTTTTGATAATTGCCTTATATATAATGATCATTAATTTTTTTTTCAGGCTTATTGATAATTTTAGTGTCCAAAGGAAAGATTAACATTACAAACTGCCCTGAATTAAATCTCACCACTGCACATTTACTGCGAGACATAAACACCCAATAAAAAGTTCACCCTGAGTATAATTATATGCATTTAAATCGTAGATGGAAAGTCCATGGTACTGTTTTTTCTTAGAATAACTGATGGTTACACAGCTCGTAAAATATTCCCAATTTTTATGAAACTTGAAGGTTCCTCAGCATGTTGACAACAGCCTGCAAATGGATCCTACACAGAGCCCTTTCAATGCAATTCACAGCTTCATAACCTATTTCTCCAAGATACATTTTAATATTATCTTTCCATATATAGCTAAGTTTCCTAATTGGTCTTCTCTTCCCTTCAAGATCTAAAACATTTTCTATGTATTTCTTGTTTCCCCATGCATATTACATGTCCAAATCATTCATCCTTTTTGAGTTAACTGCCGGAATTGATTTCGTAAAAAGTTCAAATGGTGTAATGGCATCTAACTTTCATTCTCTCATTACTACATCTTACGCACAGACTTAATTTTCATATTGAATCTCTGTTTTCCCCTCAGAGTTAGAGACAAAATTTTAAACCTTTAAAAAGGGTACAAATAAGTCTTATAACTTGACACTGGTTCTACACATCAATATGAAAATCAAGGTTGCATGCAACCGAACTCAAATCACACAGTAGAGACTACCCTTAAACCTTCCAACTTGTAACATTGGCTTATCTTACTTATTAAAGTGTGAAGCACCATTTCTGCCAGCATCGTTGAAGTGAGAATTGAGATATATATAACAGAAATATGACATGTTCCTTATTAAAAAAAGTTCATTTCCACCAAATGCATGTGAATATGAATTCCCGCTGCTACTACAGCCTGCCAGTCACCTCAACATTATAGCTGCCGGAAGTACTGCTACTGTTCATTCCATATATCTGCAATCTCAGAAGTCCACATCCCAATTTGAGAGTTCATCAGGAGGGATGTCATCATCTTTTGGGTAGAAATCAAAGTTTGAAGTGTCTGTTGGACTGTTAATCTGAAATCCAAACACCAAAACTCATTGCAACATTCTCCATCTGGCTGGAAAATTGTAAAATCAGGTCTTTCGGCTACAAGAGAATGCCTGAAGATTGCTGTCTTCTGGGTTGTTGCGCCGTGTAGTCTGCTAGATGTCAACCTACATTTCAGAGGTCCGTGAATCATCGCCCTGATGATGGAGGCAGCATTGACCTCTGAAAACGTTGGTGGACATCTACCAGATTACTTGATGCAACAACCCAGAAGACAGCAATCTTCAGACCCACAGCAGTGAAAACCTCAAATCCTACACAAGCAAAGTTAAAAAGGTTACATGCCAGTTGGGAACATTTAATAAAATTCGAATCTACTATTGGACTTCACTAAACAACAATGCAAACTGAATCTTCCGAAATAAGACTTCTAAGATCAGTCGCAGGTTACAAAATAATAGATAAAAGAGAAACATATACTATATTAGACAAGAACTAAATATATTCATCCTAGGAGGTAAAGCAAAGAATATCAATGGAGCTACTTAAAAATTACTTAAGAACATCAACTTACTGAATTCCTTGGAAGTTGTTTGACTACCACCCAAAAGAAAGAAGAGAATGAGCATCAAAGAGATGGAAGGACCAATTCAACTAACCCAGAGAAAGAAACAGGTCAAAAGGCCCAAACATTGCTGCTACTGATGACTGTAGATTGTTTTTATCTCATTTGCCATATACAACATACCCTCACCATTCATAGGGGTTATGTTCTTCAAAACTCCTATGAATGGTAAAACTCTGATGGCAAAGTTAAGACCTTATAGGGAAATGGGGTTAGGAGAACTAAAGACACATGAAAGTCAATACTTAATATGTTTTAATGATTCATAAACATGAAAAATTTATTGTTGTTGTTTAGTGGGATGATGTCAGTATTCCTGGCTGAAATCTGTGAGGGTGATCAAATGATGCAGAATGCTTATGTATATGATATTTAAGAATTGTGGTTCATGCTAATGACAATGACTACTTATACAAATTAATGGAATGTGTGCGCCTTGGTCTAATGATAAAAATGATGAGGTTTAATGGAAGGAAGAAAAGTTTTGCCAACATAATTACAGTGCAGCAACATTATACTGAATGACAGTGTGCTGCTTAAGTGAATGAGCCAGTTCATGAAATATTCTGTATTTCAAGTTATAGGGAAAGTACGTGGCATCTGACAGCAACAAATGTATCAGGAAATGATGAACAGGAGCTCTGTTTGCCACAGCCATTTCCTCATCTCAAATTATCTTTCCTATTTATACTGGGTCAGACTCATATAACATTTAGACAGTGCTCGGAGGAGGAGGAGGAAGATAAAAGGAGACGTTCACCACAAAGGACAGAAAGGTAACATTTCCAGAAACAATTTCCCTGGAACTACCTGGGTTCAATCATTTCAGTCACTGCAAAATGCACCTCAGTCGCTGTTCTCTGCCCTGGCTCTATGCTCACGGTTCATTGTACTGTCAAGATCTGCACTGATCCTGGTCCCGTGATGTGAGCGGTTCCCTGCCATAACCAGTAAAGGATACTAAAACTTCAGTTAGAGAAAATATGCACAACAGAACTTCATTATTGAAAATTCTGTTATACAGAGAACTATGTTATACAGTGGTCTGTATGATATAGGTTTCACTGTTCTTAAGACACTAGAACGATACTTAAGTGATAGGAATGCAGCCTCAAATGGGATTATTATGTCAGGCCCTTACGATGAGAATGATGCATGTGAAAATATTATGGAATGATGACTGGCAGGAAAAAAGTTTAAGTATCAAGAGAAGAATCTGACCCAGTTCAATTCTGTCACAACAAATCCCACATTGACTGCCCTGCGGATAATCCTGGGTTCCTGCATTGTGAAACCAGTGTCAAACTACCCCAACTATGGCATGACTGTCCCTGCAGTGTGAAACCAGTGACAAACTACCCCAACTATGGCATGACTGTTAGTGATACTTACTTGTTGTACTATTGGAGCCACTAGTGTTCTTTGTCGTAATCCATCCCAATCAAAACCCTGGAACCACCTGTAACACAGACAGCAGCATCATCAATCTCCTTAGTGTTCAAAACAAGAACTTGATATGGTATGCTACAAGAACCATAGGAGTTCTCATGGAGTACCATCTTGCATTGTGCAGACTCACTTGTGCTTTTTAATGTCTTGGATTCCACCACGCTGATAACCAAGGCGTTCAGTAGGAGCATCACGACACAGCCGTTTGATGAGACTCTGGGCAGCACGCGTAATATGCCGAGGGAAGTCCACCATGTCAATACCCTTTAGAATTATGTTATATGTCTTCATTGGGTCTGCTGCAGTGAATGGAGGCCTGTGGCATGACATGAAGCATTATTTAAAAAAATATTTTGATGAATTACTGTTTTTCTCCCCACCCCCAAGAAATCTGAAATTATTTAAGCTCATTACATCAGAATGTAATGTTAAATGGCTCTTCCAAGATATGTGTGTTATATTCCTATGTAGTTTTATTGGATATACTTTAATTTATACTGGGACAACTCCGTCATACTCCTACTACTACAGGACCTTTCTAGCTTCTTACACACACATCCCAATAATACTTCAATTTCTAATACACAATGCTCCATCACACTCTAATTTTTACTGGATGCAGTCCCATAACTTTTATCTTCCTTGCTGCACGAAATTGTGCTTCTAAAATCTGCCAGCAGAGGTGTGTGCAGTCACAAATAACAAATAATAAAATGATTAAAAATACAATGCACATTTTTTTTGTTACCTGCTTTATGTAAACTTAATATTCACCCCTGCACCATCTAATTGAGTTTTTACTTGGTGTGTACTCCTCAAAGCACCCCAAAATACACAAACTGATGTCACACTTCTTGCACTTAGTAATTTTCCTTCTTCTTTCTCCACAGGCAGAACACGCGACAGTTCATAATTTTGGCTGAGGAGGTTGCCAGTGTTGTCGATTGGCCTCCTCTAGGTGAGACACTCAAGTAGACAGAGTAGGTGGTCAATGTACAGGGCTTTTAGGGTAAGGAGGACCCCTTACAGCATGTTTTTAACAAGTGCAAGTCTAAAGTCTCTGTGTGACAATTTTGTACCACAAGATGAAATTGTTCATAACGTTGAGATCCAATAAATGGAAAACTTCCTCCCCTCTCCCCAGGTTTGACTGCTGATGGAATAACTGTTTGACATCCTGTCACTCTTGTCTTTTTATCTCTTGCAATTTCATGCTCATCATAAAAATTACCTTCTACTGGAGGATTTTGTTTGTCAGCATATGTATGTCTCATTTGTCATTCAAAACTAATGATGAAATGTCACCTCTTACCTTAGCCTGAATGTCTCCCATTTTTGGTCTGAGTCTCATGCTGTGAAAGTCTTGAGGCAGGCGTTTGTGATTTGGTCTGACTGTCCTGCAGCTACTTATTTTCTTTCTTGTCAAATCATCAAATAAGTCTGGGGATGAAAAGAAATTATCCATGTACAGTTTATGGCCAACCCCCTGAACACTTCTGCAGAGGTCTCTACCCATAGCATGTGTGTCTGTCAAGTCTTTGTCGGCACATTTCTT